CTAAATATATCAATCTAACTACATGTAATTAGTGATGAATTTATAATAATGAATCAAAATTCAACAAGAAATCTCTTCAAAAAATTACCCCGACGAAACATTTACATTATGTACTCACCTCTATAATTAAAAAAACAAGTATTTACTCCGAACCTTTCCAGGGCTGCTTTGAAATTTTAATTTAGCTTTATCGCAGCAATAGTAGCTTCTCAATTAGACATTTTGCTTGCTTCAAATTTCAGACCTAACTAAGCAACTTTCGCACGGATATTGGATTTTTATTTACTCCTCAGGTTTACAGTTAGAAGCACTCTTATCGGAAGGTTCATCTAATTGCAACGTTGTGTATTATGTGACTTTTGTTTAAATTGAATCAACTTCAGAAGTTTGTCCTTAAAAATATATAGAAACTAATCAGGTACCTACTTACTGAAAACTACTGAATGAAGTGAAATTCCAAATGGGCGTGAATAAATGTATGAGAAGCACACTGATCTAAATTGTTCTTCAAATTTATATGTTTACAGTTTTAAGGTTATTGAAAATTGTTTAAATGAACAAAATATGCTAATAAATCAGCTTGAACTGGGAATAATACTAATACTTAGTGGATAATAAGAATACTAGAAACTTGAAGACAAAACTACATAAAACTGGAGATTATTATTTCTGGAAACATTAAGAGATTTTGAAAATATTTTGTGGGTACTTAATATTTCTCTAAAATACTTTCACTCTAAACTAACTGTTTTTAACTTTTTTCCATTCTGTTGGTATGAACTATTTCACACTTTGTCCTATTAAGTATTGGCAAATTAATCTAAAATCGATAAATATGTTAAATTAAGCTAAAACTATACTTATAACGGTATTATTTCGTTATTACTCCTAAACCTTTAGAACACATAAATTATAACTCTAGATACCAACGTGGCAAATTTTTCATATATTCCTTGGGGACAGGGCGGAAAACGCTGCAAGTTCACACAGTATTTCATGCTGTGCAACCCACATGATTACTTAACAATGGCCTTATCTGCATTGGAAAATAATGGCTTTGTACGGCTTTAGAGCTATACGAGTTGGACTTTCATAGAAATCATTGAGCGAAACTGAATTTATATGAGAAAAGCTACGATATGGCACAGATTTCGATCATTCCCATATTAGGCTCCGCAACCAAATTCACTCCTAATAGCTTTAAATGGAAAAGATCCGATTCCTCCTTGGAAACTACAATCAAACAATATCAAATCGCAATTTCGCTTTAATTTCAACTTGCTTGTATTGGCGCCCTAAAACGGGCAAGTGCTGTCAAGAACGGATGAAAATCACCGAGAAACGCGTTAATTTTCCATTTGGCTTCAACTGCTTCTTGAGAGTACGGAATTCGTATTGCTAAACTGTAAATATGTAGCTTGGAAATGAAAATCGATGAAGAGACAATTTGCACAACTTAAAGACTTGAACTGTTATAGATAGAAAGAGAGAATTTCCAGATCAGGAACTTCATCTATTAAATATAAATAAACTTTATTTGAACATACGAACTGCAAACTCGGAAACGTACTGTATGTTACATTTAAATTAAAAGTTCAAACTATAAGTGATGCATTGAAGACTTGAGATGGGAAAAGGAGAAATTGAGATGGAACAAAGGAGAAATGAAGGAATAATGGGGGAAAAATGTGTATTGATGCACCCATAGTCAAGATAAAGACAGCTCTGACAAGGTTTGCTCTATATGTGGACAACTTTTAAATAGACTAATAAATAGCGGAATAATGAAAAATTTCATGCAGAAGGATAATAAGCATGCATAAGATAATTAAGGATTGTAATGTTAATCAGATTTGGTTTAAATAGGGTTACAATTCGAAGACAAAACTAATTAAAACAAGGAATTCTATAGAGGACAAAGATAAGGAAGAAGTAAAGTCATTCAACTTTTCAATCCCAATGAACTTTTGTTTTAACTGGAAACATTTACTAGATTTACAGGAAAATAGAAACAATAAGAGTTTTGTAAAAATGTGTCTTAAAATTAACGATGTTGGGCAAAAAAAGCATCTATTTGATCTCGAATGCACAACTGGACACAAAGTTCTCATAAACCAGACTGAGGAAAATTAGATTGCATAAAATCAGCATTTCCATAATAAAGATTCCATTATACAGACCTATTCTTAGTTAAGCCCATAAAAACAGTTTTTTCGTTTAAGTACCCTTGCAGCTTTAAAACAAAACGTCCGCCTTAAATCTCAAAATTATATCACCATTTTCTTACCGTGAAAAGCTCAGACTAATTAAAACCGATTTTCACGTCCGAGTTAGCTGCTCTATAACTAAATCCGCACTCGTTTGGATGCAATTTAATTAAAACGATAGTTTGTTGAAATAAAGTAGAACTTGAGCTTAACTAGAATAAGAAGTGTTTTGAAACAACGTTGTATCACAGAAGTACAGGAAGATCTTAAGTGTTTGCTGAAAAATTTAAATTTAAAAAACTTTTTGAATTTACATGAATGAAAACTTACATGAACAATGACCCTTATATGTTGTTTATTAATGTAACTGAAATTTATTTAGGTCTTGGTTTGTGAGGTTGTAATAATTTTCTTTAACCATCAGCAACATTTGACGATTAAATTCCATAAGAAATTGTCCACTAATCAAACCCAAACTTTCCATCAAACATATTTCCATCTTGCATATTGTTATTAATGAACCGAAGCTAATTGATCCCATTTGCTCTAAACATCCATTAATCGCCATGAGATTAACGTGTTCTCCCGCAGAAAATATTGAATTTATCCGTTCCTCCGGGAGTTGCGTTAAGTCCGATTTAGTCAGTTGAAAAATATGCCACTTTGCGTTCACTCTGGCAATTAAAATCCGCGCAGTAAGCATTAAATCCGTTTATTTGATAAACGGCCTGGATTTGACAGGCCGAAGAGAAATGTTTCTAATAATCATGGCAACAGGTTCACTTGCAGACCAATAAATTGACAGAGTTGGAGGTTTTATCGGGAATTCCTCAGCTAGATGATTTTGATTTACGCAAAATAAACGTAAAAATATAACAAGGAAACGGAAGGAAAGTAGAAAAGGTCAATAGCTAAATCGCGAAAGTCTGAGCTGGCTACTGTTTGTCGCTTGAAATTACTCAGCGAGCTCTTTAGGATGATTTTTCCAAAAATCAAAGAAAAAGGTGAATTTAAGATGAAATTGCAAAAATCAAATTCACGGATTAAGACCTTTGTTTTGTTTGAAATGTTATTGTCTTTTTATACACATAATCTTTATTTTATTTCCCCGCAAAACGGCCATCGGCTACTCGGTCTTTCAACCCATGTTATTACGCAAGTTTATTGTTAAGTGCATATTTATAGTGAACAAAAAATATAATAAGAAAAATAATTGGAATCGCGATAGAATTGTCTAATTTCTCTTGCACTTTGCCTGCATATGTATTTCTTTCTGGGCGAGTTCGTATAAAGTTCGTAGGATGAATTCTCAGAGCGTTTTATTTTTGTAAGTGCTTAATGCAATCTGTTCTGTTCTGTTTTCTGCATGTTTAGTTTTCTCGATTACATCTGCTCTTTCTAAAGATGAAATAATAGTTTTTTGTGCCAAACAGTATCAAAGGCTTTATAGATTTCCGTGAATGTGAATGGCTGTCATCTCTTCGTTCATGTTGCTTGTATGGTTTTTCCAGACGAAGAGCGTTTGGTTTTGAAGCCAAATTAGCATGTCAGCATATGTTTTGCAATAAGTCGTTGGTGTGTTTTCTTTGCTTGAGATATGTTCTATACAATATGTTCAAACAGCACTCGCTACCGAATTGTTTTCTTATTTGCAAAATAAACTACAATAAATATTGCCTCCACTGAATTTTTTCCAATAAATAAACCCTTCACTACCGTAACTGTTGAACTATCCTCTTAAGACAACATTAATAATGCGGTCGAATAAATTGAAAGCAAATAAGACATATTAGAGTTGCCACACTGGTCAGTTCAATCAGTCACTCTAGAAGATCGATTGCACAAAACTTGTAAAATATTTATTGCGCTTCGAAGCAGACGGAAAAAGAAATATATCAATTTTGCTTGCACAATGTTTTATAATTATTTCTTGGAAATGACTGACATGGCAAGTAATCATTGCCAAGAGAAATCGAACACATCGAAGCGAAAATCCTTCTAGGAATCCTCTTTAGCATGAATGGAGATACGAAGAACCAGAAAATGAAGCTGAATACTTAGTTAATTGAGAAATGTTCCAGAAATTTAAAAGGGCAAATTTTTAAGTTTTAAGTAAATTGGAGTATCATAATAAAGACCAACTGCTGGTATAACAGAATAAATAAACTTAATCGGAAATAAAATAACTTGAAAATGATAAACAATAGAAGTGCAGTCAGTGGTTATCGATTCAACAGACCCACATACAAATATAAGTGTATTAAATAAATTGACCAATAAAAATTAATTTTTAATAAGACGAGTCATCTAAACGTATCTAGCTCTAAGTAAGAAACATATATTATACAAACCTACAATAATATGTATAGAGGCAAATAACGCGTAAGTATTGATTTGTGAAGTTCTAAATAAGTACAAGTTATAATTAAATAAAAGACGTACTGCAAAAAGTGAAATATGTCCAGCCGAAGACCACCGATAAAATAAAAAAAGTTGTCATCCCAACTTAGTTGTTTTCAGAATGTTGTCGTTAATCATCCCACTTATGGAATATCGGGTCTCTTCTGCGGACTGTTCGGCTCCCTAATATGTTTTCCTTACTTTTTTTGGTCCGGCCGGAATGTCAACTTAAATCCTAACTCTGGTATAAAAGATCAAGTGATTTTTTTAGACCGAAATATAATGGTCAACGTTTGGGATTTGTTATGATTTATGTGTGGAACTTTTTAATTGCTTCTCGTACATGTCTACGAATATAAATTGTGTTTTCTATTCGGTTTTTTTTTATTTCAGTCTAAAGATCTTCCGTCTGGCTATCTAGATACCACAGAGCAACCAGGCCCACCTGACTCTCACGAAGCTATGAACAATAGAGAGTTCATTCAGCAAAGAAGGGTGAAGCGGAGTTTTGAGTTTCTGGTTGGGCTTATTAACAACAATTCAAAATATGAAGTTATCAAACCCAAACCAACGCTAACTCGAGCTAAAGAAATGGAAAAGGTGAGTTGGAGTAAATATGTAAGAATCATTAACGTAATGTATTATATTCACATAGAGCAAAGCATAAAGGAACATTAATTTTCCAGTAGCCAATTGATGAAATCTCTCAAAATATGACGGTTTCTGTAAACAGACCAGAACTGGAAAATCCAATGTAAATATGAGATATATCCAGCATTAAATAAAGTACACGCAAATTGAAATCAATTTGAACGTCGAGAATCGTTAGTTCCGCGTTAAACGACAAATCAATATTCGTATTTGTAATTGCCAAACATTAATTTCTACCGGCATCCAAATCAACATTTAAAATCTCCCCGATATAGAAATCGTTAAATCTTACGGAAATTTATTCTCCAATCACTCTTCATGCCCTTGCATTTCCATCTTCCATCCCCAATTAATTGGTTAATCGGTCCGTTCGGAAAACTTAGATTGCGGATGGAATAAAATGCTGCTCCATTGCTCTTATTTATCTGTTCCGGCAGATTGATTTCTTTCGATCTCCAATTTTAATGTTACGGGAATCTATTTGATAAAATGCGGATTTGTGAATAGTTCACCGAATGGCTTACTGCATCAAAAACGGTCTGGGGAATATGAATCTTTCAACGAAATAGACAAAAACATCAAGGACCTGGTAGAAATTGCTCGATTATTGAGGAACGGAATTGAAAGTTTTAAGAAGGCTGTTGAATTGAACTCTTGTAAGCATTTTCAGAACAAAAATTAAAATATTGTCATGTGTGTTATAACATCATTAGGCTTGTCTGCTGTTAGCATATCCTTGTCAGGTTTTCCTATAATTTCAGTTTTTGTAAGTTGTTTTTTAGCATACTGCTGAATCTGTTTCAATGTATGCAGAAATTATAGGTCAATTTTTTGATTCTCTTATTCAATTTTCTGGTTTATTTTCACTGTAACGTTCAGTCGTCAAAATGCCAATCTGAAAGCAAACAGGAAATTGCTTTCACGTTTATTTTAAATTAGAAAACAACTGGATTGGGAATATATGGAACTGTTCCCATACATGGCATGGTAATAGTGGAAAGAAAAAAATGATGCGATGTTATTGCAGTGTGTTGTCATTAGAGGTTCCGTGAACGGGACGTTTTCATAAAAATTATTTGCCTAGATTAATTAATAAAAAATGAGTTAGCGAATATTTAATTAGTGGAGAAATTGTTTTTCATATTTCAAAAACCAACACATAAAACATACATCTGAATCTAAAATCGAACTACGAAAAAGCGAAAACATTTTGAATACAGTTTAATTTTAACAAATTTAACAAATTAAAAAAATGATTCAGACAGAAACAAATTGTGTAAATTCCTGGTGACTGTGAGAAAATTTGTAAAAATCTTCAACGTCAGACCAAGCAAATAATATCGCTCAGACTAATGTAGATTATTCGTTATAACCAAATTCAATGTACAGGGTGTTTGATAAGTAGATAGATAGATAGATAG